GGCCCTTATCAAACCCTGTGGAAGCAAAAGTCCCCAAACAAACCCAGACCAACCCCGATTTCCATCCCCGCCATGCAGATGACCAAAGACTGAGTGTTCCTGCGGCAGGTCTCTGGCCGGCGTCTGGGCATCTTGGCTACCCAAATAAGAGTTTAGCGTGCTCCTGATAAGCCTCAATAACTCTCTAAGCGGGGTTAAGTGACTTGCACAGCAAGCCAGCTGTTTCACCAGGGCAAGGGAATTTTTGTGTCTGCAGTTTCAGTATCTAGCTGTTGAGCTATGTTTAGTCTATGGCTATAAAGTAGCCTTGTTTCTATTCTGAGAATATTTGTCTAATCAGGGGTCCAAGGAATTATTTTGCTCAGTAGAAAGTTATTTGGATAAGTTTATACTCCAGGATGGGTGCCTTGGAAAAGACCAATAAAGGCTGCGCATTGCTGGAGCCTTTATTGGTTTGCCCTCTTGGGGCATGGTGCACACCTGTAAAATAGGCATACTTTTTATTTTTGCAGAAATAAGAGAAAGGCTTTACACTCACGGCTTCTAGCCAGCTCTGAAATGAGGCCCTCTTGCAACCTGAGTGCTGCTTGCTGCAAAGAGTTACACTTCCCTGGACACTGCAGATGCTCATCTGCATGCGGGTGAGGACCAGTGCTGGCCAAGGCTGGCCTCACGGGCACAGCCCTGGCATGGGATGCCCACACTGCTCATTAGCTTCCCCCAGTAAGTCTTCATCCAAGAGGTGCTCAGTGACTTGAACTGTATTTTCTGGTAACCCCTATTTTCAGAACTCCATTTGCTTTTGTAAATCACAGATGACCCCACTACCCATCTCTGGCTGCTGCATTAGGAAACTGATGAAATACTGAGCTGAGGGACACCTGAAGGGTCAAGGCCCATCAGCTGGGACAGGTAAGACTCATTTACCAGCCTCCCCAAGTCCTTTTGGTTCATCCCAACCTCCTTATCCCTGAGGGTGTGAGGAAATCATGATGTTAATCCCAGGAATTTAGGATGTTTTTCCCAGCAGTCTTAACCTTTTTCACCTATGGGGTCATGGCATTTTTTTGAACCTAACAAAGCATTCAGCGCTTTCTGGTGATAATTCCCTTTTTCCTATTTATATCCTCTCCCTGGGGTGCTTTGCCTCTTGGCTGCCTTCAGCTGGGTGAGCTTCATCCCATGAATGAACCAAGAGCACCCAGGCCTTGGTGGACTTCACCCTGTTTGCACATGACAAACACAGCTGAGTTGTGACTACTTGCAACTGAGCAACCACTAATTTTTATCCCCAAGATAAATCCTTGTTATCTGCTGAGATAAGGTCCGTTACAGCATCCTCCCCATTTTGGAAGGCATTGATTTCCACATTGGGAAATTGCCTTCAGCCGCTGCGCAAAATAGCAGCCCGGCAGCAGCGATGTCCGCAGGCAGTTGCCTGCACACACACCTGAGACAAGCAGTGACTCCACTGTCACCACCACGTGCCACCCACCACCTTCATGGCTTCAGTGGCGGTGGCTTGGGTGCAGGTAATGGCATTTTCTCTGCAAAAGGCCACTTCTTCCTCCCCAGGGCCATCCCCAACCAGGCAACCCCCTGCGATTTCAGCATTGCTGCCGTGGGAGCATCCCTCCAGCTGTCGGCAAATCTGGTTGGTTTGAGGTTGTGCATCAAATTAGGAATTAGGAAAATCTAATTCCCATTTTCATTGCTTAGGCTTGCTGCATTGGTATCAATAACTCAATAATTTCTTCTCTTCACATCCCTTGCAGCCTGACTGGATTTTGTCCCGGACATCTTACTTTGTGCTAAACAAGGACATTTCTGTCCCCCTTCTGCTTGTGTTGTAAGCTCAGTGCCCCCATAACAGCTTTAGCAGCTCCCCGTCCCCTAATCCCCCCTGCAAAAGGAGCTGCTCAGGGCAGTGGGGCCCTATCTCCATCCCAACCAATGTCCCCTCGGAACAAGCCCCCTCCATGAGCTGACGTCCCCCCATCCAGTTCCCATCCAGATGCTCCAAGTTTTTCATACCCTTCACTCTGAGGCACAAAGTCTTGGAGAAGATGGCACAGCTCCTCTTCTGCAGCACAGAGGGAACAAAGCTGTGGCTTTGGTGTCACCACAGGGTCCATGATGAGACTTGTCCTGCTGAAGAGGGCACTGGCCATCCTGGGAAAACATGGGACAAGCACCTGGCATTTCCACCTTGCACCCCAGCCCTGCCTCTCCTAGAAATCAAGCGCCTCCCAAGCACACGAGGCTGGTGTTTGCAGAGTGACTCACACTAACCTGGCGGGTCAGCAATAAATTCTGTTACAGCAATAACCAAATTTCTGTCGCTCACGCAGGGCTACTTCCATTTCCTCCAGGGAGTCATCCCAGGTTCCCATTTCTCTGCCTTTTGCACACACAGGTGCCTCTGTCCCTTGCAGGGACTGTCTGCATGCAGGTCGGTGATGTTTATTCCAAGCCGTGCACCAGATTCCCACACCACATGTCCCACAGCAGCTCCAGCCCTTGCTGCCCTCCCTGCCAGATCAACTCAGACAATTCACATATGCCAGGCAGGTTATAGGCTCGAAACCAGGCATGGTTATGCAGGGTAGATGCTCCTGGGCATCGCCAACAGCCACAGGAGGGCTCACTGGACCTAGCATTCAGGGCAGAGAGAAGGTAACAGCAAGTACCGACCTGCCCAGTACCCACAAAGCCCCCTGAGCCAAGTCCGCCTGCATGCTGCCCCTGGGAGCCCAGGGACACGGAGAAGTGGGGAAGCCAACAAAGTGACCTTGTAATTACAGTTTCCTAACACTGATGGCTTGGGACTGAGTGCGGAGAGGTCAAGAGTATGTGGGTGATGGAGAGAGGGGAGAAAGGGCAAGGAAGTCTGTGTCAAGGCCAGATATAAAGGGAAACCCTCCCAGCTGGGAAGGAGAGGAGATGAAGGCTCTCAGCAACACTAGGAGAAAGAGGAGAGTCTGGCTTGGAGGAATCAGATGGGGTGACCATGGCAGCGCTCACAGGGAGGCTGGACCGACCCGCTGGGTCCCAGCAGCTCTGGGGTTGTTCAGTGGGTCGCAGCTGGGACACCAGCCCACGGGCCTCAACCCCAGGGTGCTGGAAGCATCCCCAGGAGGGCCATGCAGGCGTCCCACCAACCCTGCTACCTCCAGCCAACCCCTGAGGGGTCCCCTCAGCTCTGCCTCAGTTTCCCCACCCGGCCATCACCTGCTGGTTGTTCAAGGAGGGAAACACAGACAGTTCCCCAGAAGAGATCATATCTGCCAGGGACAGCTGTGCCCAGGTGGGATTGCTGGGGCAGCCACACCACCTCCATCCTTGGGCATCACCAGCAGCACCCCCGGGCCGTGCCACCCCACACCCCAGCATGGCCCCCGTGACACCATAAGCCTATCTCTGAGCCATCCAAGGCTGGCCACAAGCAGGTGACTGGCACAAGATATTTCAGCTACTGAACGCACCATGAACGGCCTTTACAAAACATTTTCATCACACACCAGAGCTGTCAAAGCGCTGCCTTTGCTGGGGCAGGAGCAGCCCTGCCAAGCTGTGCAGCCAGGACCTGAAATAGCACTGTTGGGCTTTTTGTTGTTTCTTTTGGTGTGTCCCCAGAGGGACCCAGAGCTACACTAGGTCACTTATGTTTCTGGGCATTTCCATGTTCAGAGGCTCATGCCCTGCCGTGTTTAAATAGTGAATGCTATCCCTGGGAACAGTCTTGTTTTGGGCAAAACTTTCCGTGTTCCTGCAGGGCTACACCCAGGCCATGCCTCAGGAGCATCTAGCAGCTGCTCCGTCATAAAAAACAGCTCAGAAATTCATGGGACCACATTTTCCCATCTTTAGCCATGCAGTAACAGGATTTTATGCTCCTCAGTGAGGCAGGGGACACACAGCTCCGCCAGTGCTGAGAAACATGCCACGAAGAAAAGGCAGCTACAAGAAATTATATTCTCCTTTTATTTACCTATGACCATGACAATGTATTTTTGCTAGCTGCAGAGATGCTTCGCACTGTAAACTGGGTGCCTGGAGGCAGGCAGTCTATCCAGCTCTGCCAGGTTCAGCAATAACCCCCGCTTCTCAAAACACAGTATTGTTATCCAGAGTAAGGAGAGTGTCTGATTCACAGAGCTGCTTTTCTCCATCACCAAACCCTCCGTCGTCAGGGCATGATATATACACCCAGGCTCCCCCAGCGGCCCGCTGCTAGGGAATGCGTTTTGTCAGATAAAACCTGCTAACTTAGAAAATGCTGTACGCACTCGGAAAAAAAGGCATCCACTCCACCGGAGAACTCCGCCGCAACACACACAAATATTGCACTTGTAATTTCAGAACAGGAAAGGACACGAGGATTTCCTATTACACAGCAACGCGTCCAGCTATAAGAGGTCAATAAATAAACCAGGGGTGGGAGCAGGAGGCAGTTAGCTTGCACACCTCCAGCACAGGGGAAGGACACGGCTTTCGATGCTCCCAAGGGGACCCACTACGAGCGAAGGAAGCGCCGGGCTCCTGTGGGATAGCTGCTTCAGGGGAGCCGGGAGGCATCGCCGGCATGGGGAAGCACAGCAGCATCGTGGGGTTGGTCCAGTTCAGAAGTCTTTTATCCAGGGAAGATGCTCATGTTGGTGCTGTTGTCCCCTTGCCGGAGCCCTGCACAGAAGTCCTCCTCCTCCTCGCCAAGTCGGGATCACTCGTCGCCTTCCAGCAACACTCGCACCTTGGGCGCGTGCTTCACAGTAGTCTTGTGGGAGCTTCCCTCCTGGCTAAAATCCATGCCGGAGTCACCCCGAAGGCGTCGTACCAGCGATGGTGAGATGGGGCGATGGAGCAGTACCAGACTGCTTGGCTTGTTGGTCCCCTCGGCCTCATGCTCGGTGCCTTCAGCTGCCCCACACCCGTCGACTGCAGGAATATGGCTTGGGGGCACAAACAGCAGCGGGAAGGCACACTCCCGCCATCCCCCGGGAAGGCCTCCACCACCTGATTTCATGTAAACACACAGCTCCCAGCCTGCCCCGAGAGAGTCCTTAGGTCTACAGTGGGGAGCTGGCTTTCTTCTGGTTAATTATGTCTAAGTACAAGTCAGAGCGGAGGAAGCGGGGGTATGAGTCCTTCTCCATGAGCCCGTAAATCCTCTTCTGCGCGAGGTCGAAGCAGCTGCGGGTGATATTCTGCAGGTTCTCCTTGGTGTGCTCCCGCGTGTAGGAGTCCAGGTTGACCTGCAGTCAGAGAGACCAGCACTGGTGAGCAGCTCCCCAGGCAACTGCCGTGCCGTGGAGCCACACGCCAGCGCGGGAGCCAGCCCTCACCTCCTTGCAGGACTGGATGGCGATGTACTCGGCGAAGATCTTCTTGGCCTTGGAGACCATCTTGGACTGGGATTTGATCTTCTTGAACTCCTCACAGGCCAGCCAGAACTCCAGGTTCTCCTCACTGAACTCGGTGCGCAGGAAGGCCCTGAAGGCAGCGAGCCCGTCTGTGGGGACAGAGACACATCTCTACTCCCGGCTCACAGGCGGGGAATGGCCCTGTGAGACTCTCAGCCCAGCAACCTTGCAAAGGTGCAACCTAAACTACGTCCCCTAAAACCCTTCGTGAAGCCTTGTGAAAAGCAGGCAGCGATGGCATTGCCAGGCCAAGCATGGCAACGCGAGCCATCCATGTGCTGAATATGCAGTCCTCAGCCCGGCTGCAGGCATGGAGCACCAAGAGGGAGGCTGGGCTTGGAGCGGGAGCAGCAACGGGGAGAGGACCCCCTGGCCATCCCTATGGGGGCTCTGTGTAGGACATGACCATGATGCGGGGTGCCCCTGTGATACGTGAGAAGGATAATGATCTAAAGCAGCTCCTGCTTCACAGACCTACTGCACAGCTCCAAATCGGGCACAGACACGAATCGCTGCCTTTTCCTCCCCAAGCTGGAGGGTGGCTGCAGCCCCAAGCCATGGCTCTCCCCAGCCCCTATCACAAAATGCTCCCCCTGGGCCAGGCAGGAGCAGAAAGGGTGCAGGCAAGGGGCAGCCTCATTTCTCTTTCTCTACCCCCCAAACACCAGGAGGGATTAACAGAGGAAATCCCAGCTTTACCTATGCACATGTCTAGATATTCCCCTGGCAGCAAACAGAGGTGGAAGAGATGGGCAAACACTTACATTTGTGCAGCAGCAGCTTCTCCAGGGAGTCCCCCCACTTGAGAGCTTCCTCAGGAGTGGGCCTGCAGGAGAAGGACAGCACGTTGGCAAAGTGAAGCTGCGAAAGCCGCGTTCACTGCCTGCCTCAATGCAGCACAAGCAAAACATTTCCAGCCGATAAAGCAATGCTGTGTGTCCCAGCAGGGCTGGCCCTGGCTCCCACATCGGCACCAGCATTGCTGGAGCATCTGCAGGCAGAGCCAGGCTCTGCACTGGGCAGCGCTGCAATGGCTCTGCTGGAAGAAACCTCTGCCTTTAGACTGGCAGGAAGAAAATCCGATAAAAGGAGGTCTGTGCAGGCAGCTGTGCCACTTGGGGTGTCTGAGGAAGAATTGGAAAAGCTCTGGGCAATGCCCAGGAGGCTGCGGGATGGTGGGGATTTCAGCTGCCCCGTTCAAGCAGCTAGATAAGCCACCAGGCGCAAGAGTAGGGAGGGCTCGTCTCCGGCTGCTGGAGCATCTCCAGAGCAAAGCGGTTTTTCAAACCATCCTCCAGCCAGTTAAAGTTTCACGTACAGGCACTGGGAGAAAGCAGCCATCAGGGAAATTTCCAGCCCAAGCCGCCACTATGCCGCCTCCCAGGCACAGACCTCCCACCCGCCTGGGGGGGATTTTCAGCCAACAAATGTTTTTAATGCTCCTCCGGATACAAAAACTGTTTGTCCAAAGCTTCCCCAAACAGGGTGAACCCAGCCTCCCTGGAGGTGATGCTCAGCCCGACTGCAGCTCATCCCCAAGCCCCCACGGCCCCCGATCCCCACGCCACCCGCTCACGGCACCTACTTGAGTGATTTGAGCACTTTGTCCAGCTTGCCAGAGGGGTTGACCCCTGGGGACTCGTTTCGTCTCCGAAAAATCCCCAGCCGGTTCTTCATGTCCTTGGCTCTAGAGGGAAAAGCAAGTTTTAGCAGGTGGGTGAGGGGTAGGGGAGGACACCCAGCACCCAGGGGACCCACCAGTAGCCTCGTATCCACGCATCGCCCGCCACCCCGCACCCACCACCTACTCCTTCATGGTGTGCCGGCGCTGCAGACTGCCGTTGTGTGGTCTCTGCACGCCCAGCAGCATCTCCGCGTGGAACTCCAGCGGCTGGGGCTTGGAAAGGTCGCGGAAAAAGGGCATGGCTGCTGGGAGGGCCTGTGCAGTAGCTCCCGGCGCGACCGGCGCGGCCAGACGCTCGGGCTTTCTGACGCCAGCTCTGTGCCGCGCTCCCGCCCGGTGCGGCCAGCGCGGAAGTGGGAGGGCTTAGCCCAGAGGAGCTTTAAATGCAGCGTGGGGTGAACGAGGCGCGTGTGAGTAAGGGCTGTGTCAGCCCTGCTGCTATTTCGGACGGCTCCACCGTTGCTGGGGAAACTCGAGGAAAGGTGGAAAAATCAGCGGCAAGGGTGGATAGTGGGGCCTTTCAAGAGACGGCAGGGAAAATAATCACGGCGGAGATTTACGAGGGCTATTTATAGAGCGCAGGCGTCCTGTGGAAGGCAGCGGGGCCAGCAGCGGTGCTGAGAGGGGCTAGGAGCAGAGCAGGGAGAGCAGCGCTTCACCATGTCCCCTGTCCCCTCTGCGAGGACAGGGCTGAGAGCCCACATGTGACCCGCTGGTGCTCACACTTCTCTGGTACCAGCCTGGGACGGGCATGGCTGTGGGGACATCTCCATAAGTGGGGTGGTTGGGACTGGCAGCACATAGCACCAAGGGGCACTGGGGCACAGACCCCCCCACGCTGCCACCCCACACAGGTCCCCGCTCTGCCATCCCTGGACAGACAGACTGAAGTACACTCAGACACAGGGCTCCCGCTTCCCCCAGAAAACTACCACCGGGACAAAGCGGGACAAAGATTTTTGGCAAGTGCCATGGGAAAATGGGACCCCCAGCCCAGCCCCAGCCTGGCCCTGCTAGGGCTTCCCAGGGGCCAAGGCAGGGGAGCAGGAGGTGGAAGAGGTGACAGGCAAGGACGGGCGCGGACGATGCTGTCCCCTCGTGGCACAGCCCCTGCATGACACCACGGCACAAAGGGGCACAGTGGACGTGCAGGGTGGCATGGGATGCTCATCCTGTACCAAGACCGACAGTGCCACCAGGGTGGATGGGGCCCCAGGGTGGCATGGCCAGGCCACCCCCTGCAACCTCCCACAGGTCCCACACCAGTGGGTCTATGCAAGGATGCTCAGAGGAGCCACCTCTGCCTGGTCAAGCCATGCCCAGGGCTGGCTAGGGACACGAGGGGCATAGGAGGGGTTCAAGGCAAGGGTGTACCCCACTCTGAGTGATGCTATCTGGACCCACAGCTCTCTCCAGTCCCAGGAGGGTAAAATACAGCAATCCACAGGGAAAAGTAGCTGCAACAACCCCAGGGCTCAATCCTGCAAGATGCTGAGCACCCTGAGCCATCGAAGGATTTTAGAGGGCAATCGCCCCCCGTAGTCCCCAGTGCTGTCCATGTCCTCGTGGGGGGCACGGATGGTGTCGCTGCCTTTGCATCATCTGGGCTGTGGTCTCAGCAGGACACACGTCCCACTGCTGCCAGCTGCCAGGCACCAGCTCAGCGCTAACGTGGGAAAAGTGGATCCAAACACAGAGCCTCACACTCCAAACACCATCTGCCTCCCATTACCACACTGCCAGCAACACCGGCAGCCGAGGACCAGCCGCCACACAGGACGGGCCATCCCACACAGCCCTGAGCAACAATTTTAGCAGTGTTCTCAGTTTAGCAAGGCATCCACTGCAGCTCAGCACTCGGCGGGGCTTTCAAAGCACTGAAAAATCCTTGTGTGTGTCTCCAACACACGTGGGCTGCCTCCACCCACACAGCCCCCTGCACAACACCAGCCAGCTGCAGTGGGTAGCCCTGCTGCACACCAGGCTCTGGGGCTTGCAGGTGACGGCGGCTCATGGGCAGATTTTCCAGCTGTAATACACCAGCAAGCACCACCTAAGGAAGTTCCCCAACTTAAAACCCACTGCTCCTCTTGCACACGCTTACAAATAAATAGCAAGTGGCATGAAATCAGGGTGCGGCAGCCATGGGCATGCACAGCCCCCAGCTGCAGCCAATCTGCAGTATAAAATGCCACAGCAAAAATAATGTTTCATAAAAAATTGCTGTTTTCTGTCTGGAGTTGCCCCTATAAAGTGATCTGCCCCCGGTGCCCTGGCATGGCCATGAGGCCACGTCCAGCACAATCGCCCCGCCCTGCTTCCAAACCATCCCCTGCAAAGCACGTCACCCTTCCTCGCAGGATGCTGGAGTCCTACCTTTCCAGGTATTTTTCGGAAAAGTCCACCATCGCGTGGTACATTGGGGAGTGCCGGCAGGTGAGCGGGGCCGGCAGAGCGTGCCGGTGCCGGGAGGGGAGGCAAATGCCAAACCCCAGCCACTTGCACCATAAATACTCCCCACAGACGGCTGGCAACTGGGCTGCGCAGCCAATAGCCGGCCAGTGCGATGCCAAGAGGCTCCCCAGCGCATCCGTTGCTGTCTCAAGGCAAGGAGAAAACCCTCTCTGCAACCACCCCTGACCCCACTAAGCTGGGGGTAGCTGAGCCGCCCCCTGCCAGCCCGATTCCCCCAGCTCAGCACTGCAGCAGGGACACGCAGATGGGGGGACGTCCCTGCTGCAGACTGCAAGGAATTCATTTTAATTTCAAGTGTTGTTGAGCGGGGGGGTTGGGAAATAATAAAAAGAGCTAAGAATAGCCAGCTGCAGCTAGGAAGCGCATGGGACAACAGTGCCGCTCGCTGGCAGGTGGCACATGCGGCGAAGCCGTCGAGCCTGCGTGTGCAGGCGGCATGCTGGGCCCCCTCGCACCCCCTGAGCCACTCAAACCACGTGCAACTTCTCCAACTGCCCCGAGCCACGTGGAGCAGGGAAAGACCCAGCCACCGGCATCCCTGCAGCCCTGACACCCGGCTGGATCCTGCCTTGCAGAACCGGAGGCGGCTCGTTCCAAAACATCCTTGCTTGACCCCACCAGTGTGCCTGCCCCCACCCAGCTGCAGCTGTGTTCGTGGGAAGCAAAGGCCACGGCTGCCTCGTCCTTGCCCAGACCCACTTTTTGGCAACCCCAAAGCCTTACCAGGAGGGGCTGCGAGCATCCCTCGGCAGCCCCCACACTCAGAGCTCCTGCCATGCTGCCTGCACGCTGCGATGTGCTGCAAGGGCTGGAGCTGGTCTGGTGGTGGGAAACCTCCCCATTCCTCCTCCCCGCATGGGGCCAGCGGGAAGGAGGCCCCCCAGCTCATGTTTCACTGCTTGCATGTCCTCTCCCTGAACCCGGCACCGCAGGAGCGGAGCCCTGCCGGCACTGGGGAAGCTGTTTTTCCCTGTGCCACCAGCAAGAGCCGGCTCCTTCACTCCATCTGTCAAAGCAAGGCGAACAGGGGCTGCTCCCAGCTAGGCTGTGTGATGCCCCCAGCACACCTCCCACCCTCATCCCTGAAAATCAGGACTCCCTGTCTGAAGTGAGACCTTAGTTCATGCGTGTCTTTGCTACTTTCTTCCTGGAAAAGCTTGGGGGAACAAGACAGGGATCCTAAGGGCTGCCAGGACCAGCAGGGCTCGGGCGAGGTTTTTGACCACAGCAAACAGCCCCGGTACATTCTGATGCCACCATGATGTGACACTTACAGGTTCCTACTCCGTTTCTTGCGGGAGGTCTCGTCCCCTTCATCACAGCTGCATTCGGGGTCGGCTCCGCTCAGCTGGGGGGGAAGAGAAAAACAGCATCTGCATCATCATGCCAGTGCATGCCCACAGTGGCACTCCAAGTGTCACCAACCAGACCTGCCAGCATCCCCCGTGGTCCCCGCACCCACACAGCCCAGAGCCACGGCATCCACAGGGCTCCTTCCCCACAACCACGGCTGCCTGCCACAATGTAATGGGACAAGCTCCTTGCTGCTCTGGCATGTGAACCTGCCTCCCCCCACCCATCCTATGCCACCTTCAGTCCATGGTGTTCCTGGAGCATCCGAGGAGATGCCACGGCTGGTGGCCCAGGTACCCCTCCAGGTTCAAAATGCTGACAGTGGTACCTCCTACGGGGAGGACACCCGCATCCCCATTCCTGATGCTCCTATTCCGGCTATCTTGAGTGGACACAGGGACCCCTCCCCAGTCCCCAGAACCAGGCTGGGCACCCAAAATCAATCAGGGGTCCCTCAGCAGTCCCCAGGCAGAAAAAAATCAGAGCAGTTCAGCCATAATTGAATCCTATCATGGCAGCTTAAGTCCAAAGAGCACCAAGAAAGCTCTACTCCCTGACCACTGCCCCGGGGTGGCCTGGGCAAACCAAGGGGACCTCGGATGCACCGTGAGCTCAGGACAGCACCAGCGCAGCCTCCGAGACATGAAGCCTGGGGCCAGGTGTGGGGACCCCTGGGATCACCATAGCTCAGGGGCTTTAGTAATTCATCCATTACTGAATGAGACTGGAAGATGCTTGCAGCTGGCCCCACATCCACCTCAACTCCGCAACAAGCTCGGCCCCATGCTGCCAGGGACTGCAGGGCTCTTTCCAGGATCGCCGCCCTGCGGCCATGCCGTGGGAACCCGCTGCGCAGCTCTGTAGCCCCGGGCTCAAGGCTTTTGACACTTCCTTCCATTCTGCACCCGGGTTTCCGGAGTTTATCAGCCCCAAACAATGCAGCCCTTGCAAAGCACCTTCCCCAGCCAGATAGGGCCCCGGCAGGCAGGCTGGCCGGGGCGACACACAGCCGGAACACGTTTCCTGCCATTGTCTGGAGAGGCTCCACCATGCTCAGGGACAAAAGGCAGCAGCAGAGCTTGCCCCAGGAGTCCCAGTGCTCCCAGCCACAATATGCTCTTAGAACAACCACCTCCCAGCCCCGACTGCGGGAAGGAGGGGAGCAGGGAGGCACACTGGGCATGATGGCGTTAAAAGGGCCAACAAAATGAGCCCCTCTGAAATGTTCCTTGAGGAAAAAAAAAAACAATACCTTGATGGATGCTGTGGACCTGCCGCCACGGCCACCAGGTGCAGGTATCACCAGTGCTTGCAGCTTGGTGCTGCCACTGGAGGGGATCCATAGGCGAGCTGTACATCAGCGTCCTGCTCCAGAAACCTCAGAGGGTTTCATCGAACTAGTCAAAAGGCACAGCCCAACAAAAGTCCCTCCAAAGTGTGGGCAGGGGGATGGCAGTAGTCCAAAACCCCATGCACACAGTGGCCCAGCACCGTGCCCAGCTCCTCTGCCCACTGCAGCCCCCAGGCAACCTCGGTCCCTCCTCAGGCAGCCAGAGAGGCAGGGCACTGGGAGGAGGCAGGGGTACCCCAGGAGGGTATATGGGCAGGTGGTTAAGGCACCGGCCATACAGAGCTAGACAGAGCTGCTGTAGAGCTGGAAGTGGGAGCTCCAGGAGGTCCAGCAGCCATGCTGCCTTCACCACTGGCATGGGCTGCCCTCGTCCCTGCTCCAAAAAAAACTGGTCTCATCTGCACCAGAGCAGTTTAAACCAGGAGGAGCTCAGTTTACCTCCACTGAAAAACATCCACCCAGATCAGCCCAGAAAGCACAGCTGGGGGCTCTCCAGGGCAGGAGTGGGGGACGCTCCCCAGGTCTCCCCCCGGCAGCAAGCATGCAGCCTGCCCAGATTCGGCCGGCACTGCAGCAGCCTCTGGCTGCAGAGCTGTGCGCTCCCAGGCTGCACACACAGCGGCACTGTGAAACCTCTTTCCAGGAGACTCGTCACTGGCAGCCCTACTGGGACACTCACCAGGCACTGACACTGCTACCACCTCCCTTGCATCTGCATGGGCAGCGCGGGTGTCCCTGCCACAAAGCTGTCCTTTCTTGATAGTGTCTGGGAAGGAGTTTGAACCCCCCAGCCCACAATTGCTGACATCAGCCTCCACTTTTGCACAGCAGCCCCATCTGACCAGCCTGTCAGACTTGTAAGGGCTTTCACCAGCTGGCAAGGGACTCTGAGCCCAAAAAGTGCTCCAGGAAACAGCATCAGAGGTGGCTTTTCAAGCAGCATGAGCCTGGCAAGAAGAGGGTTAACCCCATGACAGGTTTAACCCCATCATGCTGCCATGCTTGGTGGCATGCAGGGCTCCATACCAGCCACTCCTGCCAAGGAGCCAGCTGCTACGGAGCAGCATGCAATGTGGTCCTGCACTCTGCAAGGTGGTCCCCAAGCAGCATGACATAGTCCTGAGCTGTGCAACCAGGTCCTGAGCCGTGCAACATGACCTGGAGCAATGCAGCGTGGTCCTTAGCTAAGAAATACAGCCCCAAGTAGAGCAGTACCCACAGCCAGTGGCAGAGATCAAGCTGGCATGAGCTTGGTCGGGCAGAGCAGGGTGCTGGGCCAGCGCTGCGGGAAGGCAGGCAGCTGCTTTCCAGCACCCAGAGAGGCTTTGCCCAGGAAGAAAAGGGCAAGCAGCACTTCTCATGCACAACCTTTGCAATGGCACATTGTTTCCTGCAAAAGTACAATCAAGGCAAGCTCTGCTCTGAGGAGCACGGGGAGCACTCCAGACAGCTGTGCTTGTGAGAACAGACCAGCCCCGTACAAAGCTCCTGCTGCACAGCCCTCTGCTGCTTCTCCTTTCTGCATGTCAGGGGCAGAAATCACTGCTGACCTCAACATTTTTCTGAGACAGGCCCTCCATAACGGTCAAAGCCCTGGAAGAGGCTGGGCAGGGCAGAAAGCCACACTGCTCCTGGCATCCCTGAGCACACCAGGGACTCTTTGTTATCAGAGGCTTTCTGGAGCCTGGCTTTTTCCTGTCCCCACCACTGCGAGCCACTCTTTGCAAGTGCAGACACCTGGGTGCACCTCTCCCTCCACTGGTCTCAGCAGACAGCAGCTCTCCAGGACATGGGACTTTGCAGGATCTTGATGCAGCGGTGGGAGATGCCCACCCACAGCACCAGCACACTGGCTCTGGGTGACATCCCCTGGGTGCTAAGCATCTCCCAGAGCTGACTGCCAGTGTCAGGGACCTTCCTAGCCCCTCAGATGCCAGCTTTGCCATGGCCATAGAGAGAGGGGCCACATGCTGGCACACCCCCACCCCAGGAACTCCCCCATCGCCACAGCCAAGCAAGAGCCAGCTGCCCCACAGAGCCAGCATTGGCTCACATACCTTCCTGTGCCCTGAAAACAGCAGGGTGAGCTGGTGGATGGAGCCACCGTTTTTGGCAAGCTCTTTCTTGAGGGTCCTGGGGGAGGGCAGGGCCCAGTGGCCCTTGGTGCCCTGGCTGTCCGAGCAGTTGAGGGTGGTGTCAGAGGTGAAGCAGTGGCTCTTGGCCTCCTGCAGCAGGCTGCCCTCACTGTGGGTCCGGCGCCGCAGGGAGCTCTGCACACTCAGCGTGTAGACAGGCTGACAGCCCGACGTCTCGATCATGCTGCTGCGCTTCGCTTCATTCCTCTCCAAGTAGTGCTCGTCGCTGTCTTCATCCTCATCCTCCTCATCCTCATCCTCCTCCTCATCCTCCTCCTCGTCCTCGCCATCCGTGGTGCTGCCCACTATGCCCACTGCACTCTGGCTGAAGGTGCTGTCGAGCCGCAGCTCGGGGATGACAAAGGCTGGCAGGGAGCTGGGCTGCTCCTCTCCCTTCTCCGTGGCCCCTGGCTGCTTTTCCACCAGGAAAGGACGCTGGGTGGCTCCCAGAGCGTCCCAGGGCTCAGCCGGAGCTGGTGCCTCTGCAGCCGGAGGAGCATCACCCGCTGCCACCTTCCCGTCCTCTGAGTGCATCTGCCCTGGCTTCTCAGCATCCGTCTCCAGCATCTGCCCAGGAGAGAAGATAAAGAAGGATGAAGGCAGAATCACCCCACATCTCTTGCTGACCACCTTCCTGGGGAGCCTTTCTGCTCCTGACACCCCAAGCACAAGGCTGGCACCAACTTGTACAGCCCTAAAGGTGCTCTGGTGGGGTGGGACAGCATCATCCCCATGTCATGGCAGGTCGCCCATCACTCTCACAGCACCCAGTCCTGGTGCTGATCTGGTGGCTATGGGGCAGGAGTGGGATGGGGCCACCCAGCTCCCACATCAAGCACCCGGCAGCACCTGCAGGTTTGGAGGAAACCGGGGGGCCGGTGGCAGGTGGCTCAGGCTGGCAGCACAGCCGGCGCAGACAGGCTCAGCTTCAGCTGCAGAGGCAGAGCTAGTAACATCATCCTTACCCTGATGGCTCCACTGTCCCCCTAGGAGCTGCTGGGGGGGGCTCAGCCCTGCAGAGATCTCCCTGAGGTTGGCAGGGCAGCAGAGAAAACCAGCAGCTCTCGTCTGGCAGCTCCGGCCCCTCCTGCACCACATTATTACATGCACAAGGGAAGCACCGGGCTCTGCTCATCTGCAGATTGCCCAAGCTCTGCCCGGCCACGGCCAAGAGTGGCTCAGCCTCCCTGACAGAGTTCCCTGGCTGTGGGGCTTCCCACGGCTGCCCCACAGTGCCCTGCACAGACGTGGCCCCGCAAAACCACAACCGCTCCTACCAGTCCCTTTCATTTTTCTAAGGCTTCAGGGCTGTTTTTTGCCAGCTTTCCTCTGCAGCTGGGAAAGGCCTGAGCAAGCTCTGCCCTTTCAAAGGGAAAAGCCAGGAGTAGCCTAAGGGAAAAAACCTCCAAGGTTTTTTCATGAGCAGGGGGTGTCTGCAAGGAGCTCCCCCGACCAGAGCTGGGTCCTCTCTTCCATGTGATTTTCCCTTTGCACAGAGCCCAGCTAAGCCAAAGGGGCAAAACCAGCTTAGCAGGGAAGAAAGACCAAAGCAGAGAAAAATCCTCCCTCCGGGAAGCAATTCCCACCTACATAGACCCTGTCAGGCTGGGGCCGGGGTTATTATACAGGACCAACCCCAGGTAACCAGAAAAAACATCACTGTATCCCCAATTAAGATCCAAGCATTTTCACAAGCCCAATGGCAACCAGAAAGCTGGAGTTAACAAAGCCACCACCCCTGTATAAATTAGGTTGACTTCAGCTTCAAAAAGAGCAGCAGCCCTGGGAATCAGCCCATCCAGCCACACTTCCTATTGGGAAGAGGCACCCAGGAAGCAGAATGAGGCTGTATCCCCATGGTGGTCCCAGCTTGTGACAGCAGACCCCTGCAAGCCATCCCCTGAGACAGCCAACCTGCTGCTAAACACCTCCTCGCCCTGCAGAGCCGGTGCACATGGATTATAACCTGTGACTGGATATCACCAGGGAGCTGTATGCAGATGTTGGGCTGCAAAAGCTGCTGTCATCCCCAGGAAATACCCTGGAGGTGTTTAAGCCCCAGCTTCAGCACCATCTGCTCTGCACAGCAGGGATGGCACAGAGACCGCGCAGCACCCAGCAGCATCCTCAGGCACCTGTCAGAGCTAATGGGTCCAAAAAGCAGGCCAGATTTCCAAAAGGGTGCTTGAGTTCAGTGCCGCAGCCAGCCTCCTCCTGGGCAGCACACAGAGGAGCTCACCCATGTCCACCTGTGCCTTGCCCTTTTTTGTCATGCCAAAAGGGCCCCCTCTACAGCAATGAGCATGGAGAGGACCCACTCTGTCCCCTTTCAGCCTGACTCGCCACAGGCAGCGATTTAGCATCACCTGAACTGCCCCAGTGAGTCTGAACTAAAATTCAGAGACCATCATGTCCTCGGTTCCATCTGTGACATCTGCCCTGTCCCCAAAACAGCTGGATTTGGTGGGAGGTTGTCCTGGTTTCAGCTGGGATAGAATTAACTGTCTTCCTAGTACCTGGTACTGTGCTATGTTTTGAGTTCAGTATGCAAAGAATGTTGATAACACTGATGTTTTCAGTTGTTGCTAAGTAGTGTTTAGACTAAAGTCAAGGATTTTCCAGCTTCTCAAGCCCAGCCAGCGAGAAAGCTGGAGGGGCACAAGAAGTTGGCACAGGACAGACCCAGGGCAGCTGACCCAAACTGGCCAACGGCGTATTCCATACCGTGTGACATCCCATTTAGTATAGGAACTGGGGAGCGGGGGCAGGGAATCGCCTGTGTCGATCGGCGGGTGGTAAGCAATTGCACTGCGCATCATTTGTACATTCCGATCCTTTTATTATTGCTGTTGTCATTTTATTAGTGTTATCATTATCATTATTAGTTTCTTCTTTTCTGTTCTATTAAACTGTTCTTATCTCAATCCACAGGTTTTGCTTCTTTTCCCGATTTTCTCCCCCATCCCACTGGGTGGGAGGGGAGTGAGTGAGTGGCTGCATGGTGCTTAGTTGCTGGCTGGGGTTAAACCACAACAGAGGCACAAAGCGAATGCTCAGTTTACCCCATCCTTGTGGCTGTTTCACTCCCCCCATGGTAATTTCTTGTAAAAAGGGAGTGCTTCCAAACTTGCTGTGCAAGGATGCTATTTGCACCAGCATGTGTTTTAATTATGCTGCTTATGTCTTATTTGTATTGCAATCACTGTCATCATTATTTCATGAAATAATTAGAGGAAAAACCCACGCAGCCGTCAATTTGCTCCCTGCAAAACCCTCCCCCTCCCCAACAGCTTCCTGTCTGTCCAGTCCTTCTGCTTAATATTGCTGGTTGCCCGCATTAGATAAGGCCCTAGAAGGAAATGAACAGGGTCCTTTAAAATGAGAGATATTTGGGGATTAAATTAAATCCCTGCGCTAATTCAATCAGAGACTCTTCTGCTCTTCAGTGGCATGGAGGGTATAAGCAGGAGCCTCACTACCGAGCAAGGTTTCCATCTCGAGTTGAAAGCATCACCGGGGCTGTGAAATCCCGTCCTCACAGAAAGGGCCGTGGCTGAGCTCTGCTCAACATCACCTGATAGTGGGGGAAAGAGAGGGAAGAAAAGCGGCAGTAATGCCATCACAGCCAGCCAACAAGCCTGACCATGGCTGGAGACACCAGGGACTTCATCAGCACGAAGCCAAGGACCACCCTGCTGCGCAAAGCTGATTTGGGCCAGCAATGACAGGGACATGACCAGGTTTCCTCCTCACCATTGTCATGGCCAAGGGGCTGCTGGAGGAGGCAGAAGATGGAGGCAGTGCTGATGCTGTCTGAGCAGGGAGGTGATGTCCTTCCACCTCAACGACTCATCCAAAACATCCCATCGTCTCACTGCAGCATGGGTCCCTCTTCCTGGCCAGCAGCAGTCACTCAGGAGCCAGCAGCCAACATCTGGATCTCTCCAGCCTCAACATCTTGGTCTCACTGCTCTCAACATCTTGGTCTCACTGCTCTCAACATCTGGGTGTCCCTATCCTCAATATGCGGGTTTCCCTGTTCTCAGCAACTACATCTTCCCATCCTCAACATCGGGGTCCACCTGCCCTCAACATGTTGGTCTTCCCATTCTCAACATCTGGATTTCCCTGTCCCAAGCTGGGAAGGCCTAGAGGCTTTACTATATCCTCCCTGGAGGACCTCACACTTCACTGTTTTGGTTTCTATCTCAGACTAAGTGGCCAAGGCAGCATGTCCCAAGAAGGGGAAGAGAAAGTAGAAGAGCGAGCTGTCTCCAAGCCCCAAGATGACTATGAGGGGTAGTTTTAGGGAAGGAGGATGATAGGTCTGAGATCAGAGCAACAGCAGTAAAGTCCCTAATATCGATTTCCCCATTGAACAAGCCTCAACACAACCCAAAAAAGCCAAACAACATTGCCCCGCCTGCTCCAGCATCCTCAGTCTCTGCACCTGTAACCTGCTGCCTGGACTCCCTCTGCCTTTGGGCATCACTCACTGATTCAAAAGTTTTCTTGAAACCAAGACAGGGGAGAAGTACTGCAAACCCTCTGCTCTTCAGTCTGTAATTTGATCAGGTTTTTTCTAGTTGCTGCTAGAAACTAAAACTGTTCTAGTTTGCCAGTAGAGCAAATTTTGACGAACAGATGTGGGTTTGTCAGCGCAGCCTCGACTTCTCTAGCATTTCTTTAAATAACATGCCCTTTCTGGTGGCCCACAGCCGGGAATTCCAGCTGGGAAAACACCAGCCACAGAGGTGGCACAGCTGTGAGCTGAAGCCTGCACTGGCCTTCCCCTGGTGCTGCCAGCTCTCACACTGCCAGAAGTGCTGCAATATGTGGCATTCCCTTAAATCCCCAGCTCTAGGAGGTCAGGGATTTTTTTGACGCTCTGTTTCTTATTTCAAAACCTCTGCTCCTCACAGTCAAAGAGCAACTGTGCCTCAAATAACACCTGGACACAAGAAAATTGAATTCAGCCTTTCCTACCTCCTGATATGGATGCTTAGGTTTTGCAATGCACATCTTTCTCTTGCGGTAATACTGGGAAAGAGGAGGCTAAACATGCCTAAAAGAACAGCCCTGCACCCAGGCAGCTCCTCAGCCAAAAGCAGGGACTGGGAAAAGCAGGGAAGTCCCTGCAGATAACAGACTATTGGACATTGAGATGAGCGGGAGAGTGAAAGACGCGCTGCTCTGTGTGCTCACCCCAGGAGGAGCTAATGGACCTCCTAAGATACTGCTAGAAGAGTTGCTCTTATGAGCTGTCCCCAGACTATGGCAGCCCCATCCTCTATGCATCCCATGGAGGAACCTCTCTGGCTCCTGCTGCCCTTAAATCTACCTTTGCTCAAAGGTGCCTCACCTGTCCCCAGAAGCATTTAACTCCATGGGAATGAGACCAAGTACCTCTCCAGGGGGATTCTGGGGAGGACACAGCCAGCTTCGCTACTGGCAGTGTGCTCCCTGTGCAGAGGTAACATCCCTCCCCAGAGCAGATGGGATGCAGGGAAAACAGCATCGACATCACCCAGGGAAACATCAACATTTCTGAAGTATGTTTTTCCTAA